AGAAGAATGTTTTAAAAGAAAATAAGAGCTTCCTTGTTTCTCTATCTACCCATTTCATTCAGAACCAGAAAAAGTATCAAACAAGTCTGTCTAGGCTACAGAATCACTATGGCCCTATTTCTGCAGAAAGGAAGGTAGATTTGCACCTTTAACACTAAATCTATCAGAGATGTACAGCATAAGCTTCTGTAAGCAGAGGGCTTCCTTCAAACATCAGAAGATATACATATATATACACAAAGCTATGCACATGGTTAGTCCAACTGAAGTTGAAATCCTTATTTTAGTAACATATAGTGAATGTATGTTGTCTGATATACTCAAAAGTTAACACAATTTTTTGATGAGCACTGGGAAGTAAGCTAAAAGGCTAATAAAAGAATCCTACAACCAACAGCTAACAGAAGGGGACAGCAAAAGAAGCCAGTTTTCTTCAAACCACAAACCCTGGAATATGAACTGGGATTGTACAAACCAAGTATCAAGAAAAAGCAAGGTGCAACACAAGGTTTTTTTAACCTCAAACTACCTAAAAGTTACTTACGCAGTCACAATGATTTATGTAATGAAAATAAGGGAAAATACAGTAGCAATGCATGATATTATTCATTCTTCCATGACAGGAAAAGAGAGCTTGGAACACTCAAAATAATATGCAGATAGACAGATGAAGATAGATGCTGTGATATCTTCACGTGGATATACTTTAGCGTTTTTGTTTCTTCTCAGGAATCTAGCCTGGACAAAACTATCATAAATAAGAAATCTCATCTTATGGGTAGATCACCCATGAGGCAACTACCTGAGTAAGGAGTGAGAGGAATAAGGGATGAGCAATGTTTTAGCGCACTTTGTCATATTTCACAGCTGACAAAGATTAAGTTTAATCTAACCAACCTTCATGTATAATTTTCCCAAATATTTTTTTAAAAGCTGCTAAACTGAGAAACACAGCGTAAGTATGTCATTTTACCATGGGCTGATTTTTGCATCACAAAATGTCTATCCTAGCCTTCTCAGATCTTACTTTCATGTCTGATGATGTTATATCTTAATTTAGATAGTAAACTTGGCAAACAAGGGCCTGGTCTTATTATATGTTTTCAAAACAATGTGCACTTCTGAACCACTTTATAAATAAAGTTGTTAAAAATTAAGAAAAGAAATTAAGGGTCTAACATAAATACAATCTCTCACCATAATTTACCCAACTCTTTTTGTGACAGGGAAACTGATTTTTTCTTTCATTTATACTGTCAGTGCTATTACTTGCCATTACTTCTGGGTTCAAGATAGCCTTGAGAAGATAGCAAAGTACCCTTTTATAATCTATTATTAGCTATCATTTACTGAATGCAAATGGTATGGCTCAACTCTGTATAGAATTTGTTCTCCATTTAAGTTTACCATTAAGCATAGACTACAATGGAGTTCGTTTACATCTGCAGTAGCTGGCCAATATTCTGTTCCCATGGCCCTTATTCATGAGGAATGTGTGGCATTGATGAAATTTCAAAGAAAGTCAATCAGGTTTCATTGGTAAGGAAAAATATGTAAAATGGTACATGTGTGTACACAGGTAGACTTGTTCAGTATGTTCAACTCTCACTGGGATTTTCTTTTCTTTTACTGTTTTTTTACACAAAATTTTATATATTTCTTTACTGGAGCTAAGAGCATGCACCAGACATGAGTGGATGAGTTAGCAGATACAACTGTATTTCTGTACTAGATCTTAGCACCTGACATTCTGCCACATGGTCCTGACAAAGCATAACTTATAATGGCAGTTTGGGCATACACACGTATGCTCAAACTGCCATTCTTGCCATATCTATTATGCAGAAATAAAAGCTATATAAGTTTAGAAAAATATTCTTTCCCCTTGTGGCTGTTCTATTTCCACACTATTATCAATTGCGACATCTGTTATAGCTGGTGTACTCACCTCATATAGGTGGCCTTTAGCCCTAAAATTAAGATATGATACATTTCAGATCAACATCTGGGCCCACTTCAATCTTTCCTACATTAGGTGTCCCTCCCCTTGCTGACTTCAGTGAGCACCAAATCAGACTTCAAAAGTACTATATAAGTCAAGTAAATATAAGTGAATGAAACCTACACCTATAAAAATTAATAGGGAGACTTACATAATTTACCAAGGTTAGCTGTTAAAACCTCATAGGCACAGAAGGCAATATTTGAAAGAGCAGAATGGCCTGCAGAAATATATTAGCTAGTTTACGTCTCACCTGACAGCGGATTAAGCCTTGAAAATGCTACAACTTGAATGTTACTGATATTGTAGTAGAGTTGAAATGTTGTTAAATACAATTCACCTCTTGAGATTATACAATAGCTGCACTTCTAATGGAAACAAAATCAGATTGAATGCTTAAACCCATGGCTCCAGTTCATGCACTAAGATCACAGCAAAAAGATATACATGGGAGCAATTTACCCATACTATTCAAGAGAGACAAGTCATTGTAATTACTGTAATTATTCTGACCTCTATGCTGCATAAAACCCAGCTTGCATGTATTTGACTCATAGTCTGTAAATTTAGGAGCCCTGTAAATGAACATGCAAATCCCCATCTTCTGCAAATCCTGTAAGTACATAGAGAGCTCTATGAGCCCAGTGCACATAAAGGATTGTTCCTGTTGCCATGAACACCTAAATACAATTTGAACACAACTTTGTAGCAAAAGTTGCAAAGTGTCCAGGGATCTTGGATGCATTCACATACTAAAAGAGCCTTTGTGTACCCTCCAGTGAGCCTCTTCTGCTGTAGATGTATGTGTTATAAGGAAACCCTCTCAATTTGGGGAGCTTCTGTAAGGAATACCAAAGCAATAAGTCAAGCATCAGTGAAAGAAACACAAGAAGATGTCAGTGGCAGTGGTTTGAGCTGAGTGGTGGTTGTGCAGTGTCAGGCCTAGATAAATCATCCTCACCGGTTTGCTTCAATAAGCTTACATATGCATATAAGCAAGTACAATCCAGGGTCTTATATTTTTATGAAGGAATTGTCTAGTTGTAAACTTGAACTGTTAAGTTTCCAAAGCAATGTGGCGGACATGGAGATGAAAATTCAGTAAGCCATCTGTGATTAGAACTGTTAATAGAAATGTTAGGCAATTGATGAAGTGAGCTTCAGCTCAGAAAAGCTTGTGCACTCTCTCTCTCTCTCTATATATATATATATCACTGCTGGAGTCTTGAAGTTCTTAACATCTAAAATAATTTGCTTTTCTGTGGCATTTTATTTTCGCTCACAATATTTCCATTTCTAAATTCTCAGTTCAAGAAATTAAAGTGTTTTAGGTTTTCCTTAAGGATCTATTTATTTATAATTAGACCAAAGATGGAATTTGTTTTGTTTAATCAGACATTCATTTAGCTAAAAACTTTGTTCAGATGAATAAATGCCTCAGACCCGATTCTAAGCTCAGTTATGTTTACAACTCTGGTTCTCTCAAATTACAATGCTAACATGAATCAGAACTGGGACCCTGCTACTGTTAACCTAGGGCTAACAGTTCTAATAGAAGTAAACTATCCTTCAATAATTAAATCTGTTATTAAAAAAGACCTTATAGAAAAATTAGAAAGGGGCTTATTTCTTTGGAATCTTTAAGAGGAGGCTAGATAATCACCTTGCTGGGGTCGTTTGACCCCAGTACTCTTTCCTGCTGGGGCAAGGGGTTGGACTCGATGATCTGCTCAGGTCCCTTCCGACCCTAGAAACTATGAAATATGAATCCAGTTGAACACAAAGAGAAAAATGCATCATTTAAATTTGGTACCAGAACAGTTTCCTACAAAGAAAATATAGCCACCTTATGAGGCAATTAGGAGAGAAAAAGTTCAACAAGATTGGTTCTTATTTTAAAGATGCATTAGGATTTTTGCCAAATAATCTTGCTGCTACACAGCTGCTTTGATAAAGTGACTTTTTAACTAGAAATATCTCTTTATTGCACCTGACTTTTATGTGGAGAAAGATCACTCTTGAACTTCCTTTTGTGGTCTCACCATTCCAGGAGACGCTGTATTTTTGACCACTCATTCAGTCTCTCTGTCGATACCTCTTTCAGATGAGAAAGTCTACCTTTCCATATCTTTATGGAAATCCTAAGACATTTGAAAGCTCCATTTGGAAGCTCTCTCTCCAACCTATAGCACTCTTGTTGATCAGGCTGAACCTGACCTGGCCTTTTGTATCCACACCCTTCCTGGAGGTAGGACCACTATAAATGTGCAGCACATTTTGTTCAGAATAAGTAATAACATCCATTTCCACAGGAGCACAGCAATCAGATTTGCAAAGTTAAAACTATTGGCCTGAACACTTTCTCTTACTAAATCTCAGGACTACATTCAAGAGTGGACTCAGTTTACTCTTTGTACAACACACCTCCATAATCAATTATACAGTGTTGCTTACATTGTTTCTAGCAGTGGTTCCCAACCTGTGGTACACGTACCACCAGTAATACATAGACAACCCGTCAGTGGTACGTGTTAACCGATTTATAATGACTTTATATGACAAAAATTTGCTGGTGATACTTAAGGTTGAACTGAAAAATTTGCTGGTGGTACTTAATTTTAAATTGGTGGTGCGCAATCTGTCAAGTTTCGGAACTGTTGGTTTATAGCTTTCTCCCTTATTCTTCTTATGTGGCATCCATGCTATAGTCAAATTCTAGCCTTAGCTACACTTATGAAACTGCAGCAACATTAATTGACATTGCAAGGTTGCAACCAAATGAGGCACTTGGTTCTGAAATTCTATAAGGTGAAAGTCTGCACAAGTGGACATACATCTTAAATTCATCCACTCTACTTTTGTTGCAAAACACTGACACCCACTGGCAGCAACAGTTAAATACTAGGTTGCTCCCATTTGGTTCTACATGATTATCTGGACACTGAAATGCCTTTTGGAAAGAAAATTATAGAAATAATCACATTGTGTATCCCTTTACCTGCTGTATCTTCATTACTCTTAGAGCTTTCAGAATCTGGGTCATTAATAGTGTTTGGACTAACTTGGATGTAGCCCTCAGGAGGCAGACTCACTGTGTATAGCTTTCTTGGAGGAAGGATCTCATTATCATCACCTGCAAGAAAAAAAACAAAATGTCTGTCTAGTAACTTTGATACTTTGTGAGTCATTCAATATTGAATAAATACAGTGGTAATAGTGGAGTTATGAAAACTTTAGACTTAGTGAAAAGAGAGAGAGAGCGTCAGACAAGAAGCATCTTCAAATTATTTAGTATACTGGGATGAACAAACTAGAGAATCTGAATTCTGTGCTTGTTAAAAACCAACAACCCCCCCCCAAAGTCATTACTATGAAGTGTGCTACATCCTCTTTTTGGACCATTCCTCCTCCAAGGCTTTAGAAGTATCTCTTATAATGAGTTGTTATATTTGAAAGACGCGGCTTTGCTTCCTTCTGTTCTGCATTAATGAGCACTTTCTCTATTACAAGTGTTTTTTAAAAAGAAAAATGGGGAGTAACAGGTTCTCAGTCTGATTTTTTTCCTGCGAGCATCAATTACCAGTTAAGTTTCATAGTTTCTAGGGTCGGAAGGGACCTGAGCAGATCATCTAGTCCGACCCCCTGCCATGGCAGGAAAGAGTACTGGGGTCAAGTGACCCCAGTAAGGTGGTCATCCAACCTCCTCTTAAAAACCCCCAGGGTGGGAGCCTGCACCACCTCACTTGGAAGCTGGTTCCAGACCCTAGCCGCCCTGACCGTGAAGTAGCGCCTCCTGATGTCCAACTTAAACCTTCCCTCCGCCAGCTTGTGACCGTTGTTCCTGGTCACTCCTTGCGGCGCTCGGGGGAACAGGGACTCCCCCAG